GAATGTCATCCAAAGCTGGTGATTGCAACAGTTATTTATGAAGCTGAGGGAATGTGGAAGATCCAAAGCAAAGTCCAAGCTTTGATCAAATCTTGGAACAGCTCAATCCCCAAATCCAGCATCAATTTCCAGTTCCACCGTCCCTTTTCCTCCATGGATTCCATTTCCTCTCCTTCGAGGACCATTTCCGTCTTCTCCACTATTCCTCTGCCGCCGGGCTCCGATGCCGCCGATGCCTCTGGAAATTCCACTTTGTCTCGGAAGCCGATCAGTCTCTGGCCCGGAATGCACCACTCGCCGGTCACCACAGCTCTCTGGGAAGCTAGGTCCAGCATCTTCGAGAGGCTGCTTGATCCTCCTAAAGATGCGCCGCCGCAGAGCGAACTGCTCACCAAAACGCCTTCTCAGAGTCGGACGATTGTCATTTATAATTTCTCTTCTGATTTCATTCTGAGAGAGCAGTACCGAGATCCGTGGAATGAGGCCAGAATCGGAAAGCTGCTCGAAGACCTAGATGCCTTGGCCGGCACCATCTCCGTTAGAGTATGGCCATTTCTTCCTGGTTTTTCTCTCTTTTTGAATGCTCTGCGTATACTGAAATTTATAATGAATATGTGATGGTTCTTTGGATTTCATGGCTTATTGAATGCAATGTCCTAAACCGATTTCCCTTTACTATTCGCCCTAATTTTGTTGTTCATCTCCGAGACGATTTGTAAAGAATTTGAACTTTATGAGATGAAACTGTCCTTTTGCCCATCATTTTCAACAACTTAGTGGTTTGAATTTTGTGTATATATAAATTAGTGCTTCAAATCTAAATTTGGTGAAAGCTCTTGAGCAGAAGCTTTGACTGAGATGTATGAGTGAGCTAGAAAATGTATTGGAATTTGGCTAAGGGTTTCTGAGCTATGAATCTATTAGATTATCTTCCTTCTTAAGAATTTATTTTTGCTGGTTTCCTCTTTGACAGCACTGTTCTGATGTTGATAGCACAACCAGACCACTTTTGCTAGTCACTGCCTCTGTTGACAGGATTGTTCTGAAGAAGCCAATTAGTGTTGATGCTGATTTGAAAGTAGTTGGTTCAGTCATTTGGGTTGGGAAATCCTCAATTGAGGTTCAGTTAGACATGATCCAGTCCACAGAAGGTATGGATTATGAAATCTCTCTGTTTAAAAAATTTCTGTCCTAAAACTTCTCTCTCACTCTCTTAAGAAATGGACTTCAAATTTTCACTTGGTTCATTGGTGCGACTCCGCCTTACTGTGTTCTCTCTAAGAATAATATACTGTAAGCTCTGTGAGTATGATAAACACTGAAAGGATGAAAAGTGAACAACCATTTGTTATTGTCATATAGACATTGTGGTGCAGTAACCTAGTGTGAGATCCCACATCGATTGGAGAAGGGATCAAGTGCCAGAATGAACCCTAGGCTCCAAAGGGGGTGGATTGTGAGATCCCACATCAGTTGGAGAGGGAACGAAACATTCTTTAGTGCCAGTGAGGACGCTAGGCCTCGAAAGGGGTGGATTGTGAGATCCCATATCGGTTGGAGAGAAGAACGAAACATTCTTTTTAAGGGTGTGTAAATCTCTTCCTAATAGACGCATTTTAAAGTTTTAAAAACCTTGAGGGGATGCCCAAAAGGGAAAGCCCAAAGAGGGCAGATATCCAGTAGTGGACTTAAGACAATACAAATGGTATCAGAACTAGACATTGGGCGGTGTGCCAGCGAGGATCCTGGGCTCCGAAGGGGGGAGGGGATTGTGAGATCCCACATCAATTGGAGATGGGAACGAGTGCCAACGAGCACGCCGGGCCCTGAAGGAGGTTGGATTGTGAGATCCCACATCGGTTGAAGAAGAGAATGTTCCTGGATTGTGAGATCCTACCATGGTTGAAGAAGAGAATGTTCATCTCCCTAGCATATGCGTTTTAAAAACCTTGTGGGGAAACCCAAAAGGAAAAGCCCAAAGAGGATAATATCTGCTAGCCGTGAGCGTTTTAAAAACCTTGAGAGGAAGCCTATAGAGGACAATATCTGCTAGCAATAGGCGCTAAGGAGGAGCTATTACAGTTTCTTGGTTCATTATCCCTTAGCGCTATTACAGTTTCTTGGTTCATTATCCTCTTTCAAGTTCTGTTTATTATCTACAAACAGTCCTGAATGTCCATGTCTAAAGCCAAACTCAAACAAAAAGATATGATTTCACCATCCTCTTTCAAAATGGAGGCCCTTTACCTTCCTCCAAAAAGCAACAGAAGATTCTTTTTTCACCATTTGCTTCCGAAATAAACACTGTGCCGAACCGAACTTCAAGGTAATACTAACGACAACAAGTTTAGAGAGAGAGTTCTTGTTGGACATCTTCTTGCTTAGTTTCTGGTACCTGTTGGATGATGAAAGTCCCACATCGGCTAATTTAGGGAATGATCGTGGGTTTATAATCAAAGAATACTATTTCAGGCTTTTTGGGGAAGCCCAAAACAAAGCCACGAGAGCTTATGCTCAAAGTGGACAATATCATATTATTGTGGAGAGTCGTGTTCTTCTAACAGTACCAACTGCATATTGACTCCTAAATTTATAGGAAATGACGCTTTCTTATCATTAATCTTTTTGGTTCAGTTGCTCTGACAGCAAACTTCATATTCGTGGCTCGCGACTCTAAGACTGGGAAAGCTGCTTTGGTTAACAGGATTTTGCCAGAAACTGAGAAAGAAAAACTACTTTTTGAGGGAGCAGAAGCCAGAAGTAAGTTAAGGAAAAGGAAGAATAGAGGTGGTATGTGGGGGTTGGAAAATGGTGATATAAAAAGAATTGATGCTTTGCTAGCAGAGGGAAGAATCTTCTGTGACATGCCAGCCCTGGCAGACAGAGACAGCATTCTTCTCAGGGATACTCGCCTCGAAAACTCTTTGATTTGTCAACCACAACAAAGAAACATACATGGTCGGATTTTCGGAGGGTTTCTGATGCAACGAGCATTTGAATTGGCTTTCTCAACAGCATATGTATTTGCTGGAATGGTGCCTTACTTTTTTGAAGTTGATCATGTTGATTTCTTAAAACCTGTGAGTGTGCCTCGCTTTTATAATCTTGCATAGGAATAGGTTTACTTGGTATAAGCTGTCATCTCTGTTTATCTTTGCCTTCAGTAGAAAGGAAATAAATATCTCAATAGCATAAATGTTGGTTGTTTCAACGTACAGGTAGATGTCGGTGACTTCCTACGTTTTACATCTTGTGTTCTTTACACGGAACTCGACAATCCAGATCAGCCATTGATCAACGTTGAAGTCGTTGCCCATGTCACTAGGCCTGAGATCAGGTCTAGCGAGGTAAAATATCCTTAATATACTAATATTGTGAGATCCCACATTGGTTGGAGAGGGGAATGAAACATTCCTTATAAGGGTGTGGAAGTCTCTCCTTAATAGACACGTTTTAAAACCTGAGGGGAAACCTAAAAGGGAAAGCTCAAAGAGGACAAGATCTGTTAGCGGTGGGTTTGGTCGGTTACAAATGATATTAGAGCGAGACACTAGGCGGTGTGCCAGCAAGGACGTTGGGTCTTCAAGGGGGAGGATTTGTGAAACCCCACATTAGTTGAAGAGGGGAACGAAGCATTCCTTCTAAGGGTGTGGAAACTTCTCCCTAACAGACGAGTTTTAGAAACGTTGAGGGGAAGCTCGAAAGGGAAAGCCGAACGAGGACAATAATTGCTAACAATGGGCTTGAGCTGTTACAAATATTGTCCGATAAATCTATGGTTTAAATTCAATTGTATATACGTTGTTAAATATTTTATCATTTGAAATGTTTGTTTCGGTCTCTGAATGTTTTGGTTCTTGTCATCCAAGCTCGATACCAAACTGAACATATAGCTAAAAACACAAGCTCATGGTACTTTAGTAGATTGTTTGAAAATATAAGCTCAAAGGATTTGAGCTTAAAACATTACATCTGTCTCATATACTCAAACAAAAAAACTCTGTCCCAGAGGCTTCAAACCCTCACACTTTCATAATTGCTTCTGTCAAATGAGAGTTTCTGATGTTAGTTTTGTTGCTCATTGATAATCTGTAGAAACTAAACTTGTAAGCTTACCAAGTGTTTTTGATTTACTAATCCAATGCAGGTTTCGAACACGTTCTATTTCACTTTCACCGTGCGTCCAGAGGCAAAAGCTAATGGGAACGGATTCAGACTTCGCAACGTCGTTCCAGCAACAGAAGAAGAAGCTCGTCGTATCATCGAGCGCATGGATTCCGAAAAGATGCTCAGGGACTTGAGCAAGCAATCTGAATCAGGTTAGGCTTAGGCAGCCAACACAATGTGGCTTTTTAAGTTCAAAGAAAATTAATGATATTCAAATGGTGTGAATGTGGGCTTAGCTTATGATCACATGTGCTGTTGGAAGGAGCAGAGCAATCAAATTATGTAATGGGACATTGATATCATTATGTAATTTTAGGAATAAATGTCTTTTCAAAGTAGTTGATAAGGCTGCATAAAGCTATGTTTCAAATGAACACTCGGAGACTTAGCTTCGTATGGGTCGGAGAATTTCAATCTAAACTGAAAATGGGAGGGAGTTGGGAGAGATTTCCCACGGTTAGCTAAACAAGGTCCGAGATGGAAATTATATTCTTTGTTCCGACCCCAATTATTGTCTTGACCCTAATTACTTATACTATTTACCCTAATTACTTATACCGTTTAGAAATGATATGATGTAAGATTTTTTTTTTCTTAGGAAATGTTATTAGATTTATTAAGATGTTTTAGAAATTATATTAGAAAATGATAATTATCCATTAAAAATAATTACAAAAAAATGGAGAAAAAACTCCCTCGAGAACCTGATAGTTTACGGGGATGATGATTGAAATAGGTTTTCCATCTCCGTCTTTTTTCTACATCGTATGTGGATTCAAATTTCAAACGAGGATATTCATCATAATTTGGCTTAATTGTTCAATTTTCCAACGAGAGTAGTAGTATATCATCAATGTCGTTATGAACTTGCTAGTGTGTTTAATATTGTTACCTCGATCAACAACCCTCGTGCATTTTAATTTTAAAATATTTTTAAATTTTTAAATTTTTCATAATGTACCGACCTGCTTTTAGAGCTTATGGAGTCATAGATTGCCACTATAGAAGTGGACATTTGATGGTAAAAACTGTAATATTTATTTATGTTTAGGGTCAAATAGGATGAAATTGAAAGCAGGATGAATTTAGGGTAAAAAAGTATTATAATAATAATTATTATTATTATTATTTTGCAAAAAAAAAAAAAAAAAAAAACCAAAATAAAACTAAAAGCTTTGAAATTGACGCGAAAGACATAGCATTGAACGACGAGTCGGAACTCTTGCAAAGCTTGCGCGGTTCGTTCTGGAAGAAAGCGGCGAGGGAGAAGATGTTGAGAACTCGATTGTTTTGGTTCAGTGTTGGATTTGCGGCCACGTCCGCTTCGATTTCGCAATTCGTCTGGAGAGATCTACTGGCTCATCGATGTGCTCTTTCATCTGATGCAAGTTTTGTTTTGATCCTGAAATTTTCGTGTTCTTTCACCTTCCCAGGAGGTTTTCAGATTGTGGTTTTTGATGTTGTTGGTTGTTTTTTCCTCTCATTGATACAGATAGAGCGGAATTTCGATGCACTGGAAGCTAGAATCTCGAATCTTGAGTCGGTTCGAAACCGGGATTCGATTCCATCTGCTGAGGTATTTCTCTTTCTGTGTTACTGATGGAGCTTGAACGTAAATACAAAGCTATTGCTTTATGTGTGATAATGTGTGTGCACCTTATTCATTAGCTAATCCATTTTACTTGGGTCGATTACTCTTCGACTATTGGCTTTCGCTGAACTTACTAAATTTTGTCTTGCGTTACTGCAACCATGATTTACTGTCTTTCGAAATTGGACAGAGATAGGGATAATTGAATGTCTATTTATCTTTTCTTTCTTATTATAATGTATCAGCTCTTGCTTTGGTAGATTGTTAACGTTTTTCATGGGGGAAACAAAAGATTTGAAATTTCCAGAAGGATTTTAGACAATTTAAATAGCCGATTTAAGCATGAATGTAGAAGTAAAACAGAACATTAAATCATCGAGGCAAGGTTTCTTTATTTCCGTTTAATCCTTCTTAAGCTATTGAGACCTGCCCTTGAGTTGCTGAAGAGCTTACTCTTGTTGATTACGTTTCATGAATGTCAATGAGCAGTTCTTTTAAAGAACCCAGCCAGATTTGGCTCGAATTGGTTTGTAGCATGTAAGGGGGAAAGTAGGATGAATGGGTTTGCAGTGGAAGTAAGGGGGAAACAACCGTAATTGAAGTTGAGATACTGTCATAGATTGAGGCTTGTTCATTGGCAATGGCAGTGAAATGTCAGGATCCTTTTTGCTGTGCCGGTGCTTAAGATGAAGATTGTTTTCGAATAATAGAATGAGCACTCTATGAGTTGGAATATTATGACTAGAAGAAATTTACAGATGTAATGTTATGAGCTTATTGAGCTATTGAAGTTACTAAAAAACATACACACACTGGGGCTGGAAATGGTGAGACATTGGGAAAATATGGCATTTAAACGTTTTGTTTCCTTCTTGATGAATTCAAGCATGTACTTTCTAAATTGGATCTATGACTAGTTGGCCAGTACCAGTTTCCTTGCGAGAATTATGTGATCTTTTTGGGATTAAGAGGGTATGTCAAGTTTTTGAGAGGGTATATGATCAATATGCTTGGAATTACAAAACAGAGAAATCCTTTGTTTGTCTGAAAATGGCCATACCTACCCTACCACTGCTGGCTATACCGAGCCTTAACAAGGAGTTTGTGGTTGAAATTTATGCAACGTGGTACAGTAGATGTAGGATAACTGATCACCTTCCATTCGAATTCTTACTAATCAGGTCAGACATAAGTCTGTCTACGTGCAAGAATTGATGACCTACAAAAATGGAGGTCTTATTTGTTGGGGAGAGAGTTTAATCCAAAAGGATTAAGAAGAATTTGTCTCCCAGTAGGTCAGCCATGGTTGAGAGTTGATTAAGTTGCTTGTTATCGTATTGGAAATTATTATCACCTTAACATAGTAAACAAGGTTGCTTGATGCATTATCCAAATTCCCTACCTGCATTACTATTTTGACCTTAATTTCCATAATTCTAGGACTGTCTAGCTAAAAACAAATCTTAGGGGTTGTTTTAGGGTAGGGAACTTATCCTCATTTTATGGTGGAAGCAGATCAATAAAAATTTAGATGAGGTCAGTGTTGTGCAATGGATCATCAATTCTGGAAATGCTACTATGAGAATACTATTGTAAGGGCACTTTGGAATGTTAAATCTAAAGGTGAATGCCAACTTTTGTTTATGCTTTATGGGTATGTTCAAGAGTCAAGACGTGGATGTTTATGTGTCTAATTGCAAGATTTGTTGCAGAAGAAGTACTTATCATGTCGCTAGCTAACCTATTAAGCCTCTCCCAATTTCAGTCAGATTCATTCTTGCTAATATCTCTAGTCTTGCTTTTATACTATTTAGTGGGTCGAAATTTTTTGCAATCATTTTTTGTTTGTGTGCCACTTAGTAAGCCCGAGACGGACTGTCTTCCCTTTTCCTCACAGCATTTCTTTCCTTGTAGCAGGCCAATGCTGAGTGACTGTCTCTTCGTGGAGCTCGTTATTTAGGTATGAATTGCCTTGAATTTATTTTTAAATTCATAAGCCGTTTCATACTATGGTTGACTGTCATATTTTATCGCGGCAATAATGAGCTTGTCGTGCATCCTGAATATTTGTCAACTATGAAATGAATCTTATGTGCACTTTGACTATGGAAATAAATGTTTGACAGACTTGATGGGTCCTTTATCAAAATATTTACTCATGGTGTATAAGAACCAATGGGTTTGAGCTTGCACTTGTAAAAAAAGCAGACCAAGGGTGCCTCAGCCACCTCCATATACCTTAATTTATTTTATCGAAATTAAGGACTCTCAACAATACTTATTTACTTATTTACATTTTTAGAAACACTATTTAAAACATTTACTTTTCCCATTTCCAGCCCTCTAATTTGAGGAGTTGATGATTTATCTATGACAGTAACATTTGTCATCTACATGCCTTGCAATTTGGTGGATTGAAATGTCTATAGTTATATCTGTAAATCCGAGAGTCCAACATCAATACTAAGGATTAACTCATGTCCTTAATTGATTTAAATATTAATCCCAACATAAATAATGAATACTAGTAACAAGATCTATAACTTAGCTTAGAAGTAAGTAAATACAACTTAATTGATTTAAATAGCTTATCTAAATTTGTTGAATTTTATAAAATACCTGTCTGTGATATATCCGTGCAATGTAAATCTGATTTTGATATTGATTGGCCAATACTATGATGCCGGGCATTTATTTGGTCAGGAAGGTTATGGGAACTCTAGGGAATGAAACCTCAGTTTTTGCCTAGCATTTTGTATTTTCTTTTTCTCTTACATATATCATAACATATCTTGTAGGTGAAATTTTGTACCAACAATTGCAGGACAAAACCCCATGTAAAAGGTGCAACTCCGTTCCTTTTTTTGCTTTCTCCTAAATAAAATCCGGGTACTTTGTACAAAAGGAGAGCTTCATGTTATATCAAACTAAACTATTGTATTTCTTATTGACACGAGACTTTAAGGATTGAATCATCGACTTTAAGGATAGAATCATCTTGGTCGTGGAAATTAAAAATATTGGCAGTTTTAACCTTTTGTTTGCTTCATGATTCTTGATTTATTGTTAGTTTCATTGGCTTCTTTTTAACCTCGCAATTTGACATTAAATTCAAACTTGAATCCTACTAGAAAACTTGTCTTCTTATCAGGGACAACAATAGAGTCTCAATTTTGAAGAAATTTCTACAAGTATGACCCACCATGTATGTTCAAAATTTCTAGATAGTCTCAATTTAGGAAAAGAAAAGAGGATTTTGGAAACCCTAAAATTAGCAAATTCCCTTCTCGGAGATCCTTTTCCTACGAAGATTTTCCGAGAAAGCTGGGGTAAAATATTGAAGTTTATTTACACCGTCTTTTGAGACTGACTCTGAATTTCACTTCAATATTTGATTAGAAAATACTTAAAGAGGATCATTTATCCACACCTCTTGGTAATTCTTACGATTCAAGGGTGTTTTAGAATCATTTCTTAGAATTAGTAGAAATTGACCTACTAATCTTCCAAGTTCCAACATCCCTTGGATAATCCCAGTAATTTCTTGGCTAATTAAATCTCAGTGCAGAAACTACAACAGTAGGACATTTTTCAATTTGATACCAGTAATCAAGATGAAGATTAAAAATGCATCGTTAACAAAGTTCTAATCCACCATGTGTGTTAGAAACATAATACACTACATATTCATATATATATGTATAATCTTTAATGTTCAATAGTCTGAACATTAAGCACTTGGATATTGCCTACTTGAATCAACGAACTTGAAAATATTGCCACTAGGATCAATAGCTGGTAAGCTCACATATTGGGGACACGAAAAATTTGAAGAAATGATCCCATTCTGTGAGTCTGTCTGAACACAGTCACGAGGCTGCAATGAAGCAAACATAATAATTTGAGGAACCCAAAAGATGTCCCATAAACATCACTAAGATCACACCTGTGAAAAAAATGTATCCATACATATCCAATATTTTTTTTCCTAAAAGTTTCGTTCTCGAACTTTAAGATTTGCATCCTATTTATTTTTAAACTTTGAATTTTGAATCTCAGTGTCTAATAGAATATTAAACTTTCAATTTTGTGTTAGATTCATGACTTCTAAAAATTTAAGAACCTATTATACATTTTTTAAGTTAAGGGACCAACCTTGAGATCCTTGTAGAAACATAAACGAAGTTCCTGCAGTGCACCCTCTGAACATGCTAAAGAAGGGGTGACATGAAAAGCATTCTCAACTGCTGAAACGATTCCTCCAAGAGGATATTTCTCGGTATTTGAAGGTAGATATCCAGCATCATTCAGAACTTTCTGGGACATAACATGTTCATTAGTAACCAAACTCATTCCAATGCAAAATAAGAAATGATAAAGGTTTTAAATACATTATATGAATAGCAAATTAAAGAAACTTATAAGTGCAAGCGGCGTTTGTAAGCAAATTTTCAAAAACCAAAAACAAAAAACTAAATGGTTATCAAACAACCTCTCTTTTGGGTTCAATAATGGCAGGATTTGGTCAAATCGAGTAGTAAGATGTGTCTTATTCACTGAGTTATACTCGATTTTCAAAGGAAAGTTTTCAAAGGAAAGTCATCAGTAAACTTAATCAAATAAGGGAAAAATCGACAATAGCAAAAATGGGGAACTAAACTGCAAGCAGCATGATCTGACCTATTGATATTAGAGCTAATGTAGAAAGGGTAGCATCATTCCAAAACTTACAGTGACATTATATTTGAAAAAGACGTTGAGAGTAGTTAAAAAGTAACTGTATTCATCACGAATTACTGGATAAGAACAGGTTCCATGCTTCTCTGCATGCCATAGAAATACAATATGAGAAAACCAAAGCATGGGAAGAACATTAAACATGCTTTGATTCCAACATTGGCATCAAAACAATAATATGAACATATCAAACTATTTCCTGTGTCCTAAAACGTAGCAAATTACCAAAAAGACATGCTGTCACATCCAATCAAGAACAAACTCTACGTAGATAAGAAAGGCCAACATCAAAGTTGAGCAGAGCATTGGCCCAAGGTAAATGATAGAAAAATACACTTTTGTATACGATATCATTATGCAATGCATAGATCATATATGGCCATGATGTGAACGACTTTAAAAATCTTATAGTTAATCAAAAAAATCTAAAAATTTAACCTTTGCCAATCAAAAAAATTCAATAAAAGAAGAAAAGCCTCAATGCATTATAGAATATAGATTATAGTATCCAAGTGAGAGAAGCCGAGGATTATTACCCCACTAGTCAATGCAGTAGCCAATTCAGCCATCATAGGAGCAAAAAGTGAGGAGAAAAGAATCAGTTAAAACTTGGGTACCATCGGTGCAAATTTACACAAATATATCTTGTATTAGTGATGGTCACCTCATGAGCCCAAAATGATCCCTTCCCACCATGGCAAGTTGAAGATGAACAACTCAAAGATGGCCAGTATTTCTTCAGGGGATCAAGTAAGGTATGAATCTGCAAGATAAAATTATGCAGGATGATACAAAAATGCCTTGTGCCGAACAAGAACAAAGTAAACGGCACAATGATCAAAATAAAGCCAATAGGCTGAAAAAGTTTTGTTTTAGCTCTTCAACTATGGATCATATCATGAATATCAACAGCCTAACTTTAATAACAACGCACCTCCTTCTCATCAAAACTTGTTCCATTGCAACATGAAGGCCATGTTCCATCATTATAATCAGGCCATAACCCATCTATCACGCAAGCAACAGATTATAAATTCGTAGTCATACAATAACGAACTCTTAATATTTTATATTTATATAAAGAAAATTCTCAAACAAATGAACGACTCCAAGTTTATTCTTAGAGAATTGATATTGATATGCTCTGTGATCGAGCTTATAAACACCGCTTGCACTTATAAGTTGTGGGAAGAAATGCAATTGTAGCTTCAACTTACGAATCGTAAAGTCAGCAAAACCACCGGATCTACCAAAGAAGGGATAAACGAGCATAAGTTTATGAACAATGAAAAAGAAAATCTAGAGAATTCAGAAGAACGCTCAAGAAAATACCGAACATGACCTATAGGCAAAACTTTCACAACCGTAAACTTTAAATTTTTGTTCTATGAATGGTCTAATAACTTTTTCTCATCTACTTTTTGGTGTCATCTCCATGGTAATTCTTTCGATGTCAAAATACCCAATTGCCCAATAAACACAGAATGTAGATGATGGTGCAAGAAGACGCTCAAATTTAAATCCATGAAAGATCATTGGAAAGCTACTACAACTTAAAAGTAACTTACGAAGAAGTCTTCCAAAATTAATAGATGGAACAAAAAGATACATTATAAAGTATAAGGGATGGCAGAAGGACATGAAATCTAACAAAGTCTATAGCTACTCTAACAATGAACAAAAAAATTCAGCTTAGATTACAAATATCCACTCCTAGATTAACGAAGAAGAGTTCTTCGGTTTCTGTCCACTTATTATGCCTAACAAAGATTCATAATGGCAAAATGTTTCTCCTCTTTGATCATTACCATGATTCCCCCCCTCATAGAATTGATTGAACTTATATTTTTCACGTCTGTAAATCTTTCCATAGGGATTTACTACAAATGATAGATGATAGAATCTTGTTATTATAAAATATCAAGAATTTATCTTATAGAATTGACTGAAGAGATTTGGATGCATAATTTTAAGTTGTGTAGGATCTCTCCTAATTGGTCTCCTCTTCGTATGTTGTAAACGGGGAATGTGGTAACTTCTACAGCTTAATTAATTAATTCACAAACGGGGAATGTGAAAAGGCTGTAGAAGTTACTTAGCTGTAGAACCTCAAACGAAAGTAACGATTAATCGAGTATTCTAAACGGGGAATGTTGTAGGAAAAAGAGAAGAAGCACTCACCTATTACAGCATGCGTTGGAGGAACAACAGCTGTCGGTGCCCTTGCAGACAGTGCCAGGCCATTGCAGCGTCAATTTGAAGTAATCCAACTCTCTCTGTTCTCGTCCGTCCTTGATCTGCGAAATTATCGCATCCGAAGAATCATTCAAGGAAGTGGATGCAACAGAGACGGTGAATTGAAGAAGAAAGATGAACGGAATCATGGGAACCGCTTGATTTTGGAGATTGGCGTAGAGAGGGCTTGTAGCCTGATCGGTAATTGGCTCGCTATGGACAACAAAAATAAACATTTGCTAAATGTAATCAAATTAGTTTTTTACTTTTACTTATTGAAAGGATTAAAAAAAAAAAGCATAATTTTCTCCAAATTTATTTTTAAAAATTTGTTTTTTTTCAATACAACATCGTCTATATGATGTCATACACAACTAAACACGTCAAGAGATGACTTTACCGCCTAGATTTTAAATTTATATCGACATATCGACATTTTCATATATTCATAAGTTCAATGTTGAGACAAAAATTAAATAGACACTTATATTATATTATATCTTTTTAAAAAAACATAGCAAATCAGAAATAAAAACAATGCAAATTTTCAATTCATTTTTTAAAAATAAACTACATATATGTTATAGTTTAAATGTTTTTTAATAAATTTTTTACATTTATAATTTGAAGGATCGCTACCTCCTAAGAGCAAGATAGGACGTTATGGTAATACTCGAGAGTGGTCATCAATCTTTAGTAAAGAGATAATCTAGAAAGAATCATAATGTTTGCCTGGCAACCAAATACTCGTGTGGTGCTACGTGTCGCAATCGATGATCTGATTGTGCCTTGAGAAAGTGATCGTTAAGCAAGGATTTCTTACCAAGTCTCCAATGGTGACCCTGTATACCAATTTTTACAGGCTGAAAATGTTATTTTTTGTGGTTTATAGTGATTTTACAGAAGAAGAATTTGAAGTCCATGCAGTTTGGACTTAGCAGAAGGTTAAAAGAGAATAATCCATGAACATGAATCTATAGTAACATTCTCTAACAAATCATCAAAATTTACACATAATTCATAGGTAACAATATGCAAG